AGAAGTGTTATTAACTCCATTTTTGTGGGTGGTTTATTTATTTATTTATCTTCTTTTTTTTAAATTTCAGATTGCTATAAGGGTATAAACAACTAGGTTACATTCTCTGTGTCTCAAGTAAAGTCTAAGTTGTAGTTGAGCCCTTCACCTAGGAGGTGTGCCATATACCCCTAGCACCGAGCCCCTCTCCCCCCATTTGAATGTAGTTGTGTTTTTCTCTCCTGTGGGAGTATAGTTGTTCATCTACTGGTTTCATATCAGTATTGCCTACTTCGGATACCCACATTTCCTTCTTGTGATACTTTATTTAGGATGATGTTCTCCAAATCCATCCAGTAAGTATAAAAGAGGTAAAGTCTCATCTTTTTGTATGGCTGAGTAATATTAATTTCATTTTTATCTATTAATTCATATTAAGTACTCCTTTGATCTAAGCACTGTGATAGGTGCTAGGAGTATATGGCCAAGGGAAACAAACCACAGATTTAGTTCTTACTCTGCCTTAATGAAGCTTATAATCCAAAAGATAAAATATTTTTTCTATTTATGAGATATTGCTTGGGTTAGAGTGCACAGCTCACTGCAACTTCAAACTCCTGGGCTTAAGTGATCCTCCTGTCTTAGACTCCCAAGTAGCTGGGACTGCAGGTGCCTACCACAATGCCTAGCTAATTTTATTTTTTGGTAGCAATCGGGTCTCCCCATGTTGCTTAGGCTGCTCTTGAACTACTGGCCTCAAGGGATCCTCTTGCCTCAGACTCTCAAAGTGCTAGGACTGCAGGTGTGAACCACTATACCCACTTATAAGAAAAGATTCATTAAGCTTTGATAAATATTTGTTGAAACAAACTATTGAACACTCATAATAAATACACAATCATAACAAGTGCTCAAGGAGTAATTGAGGGCCAGAAATAAACCTGAAAAAAAGATTAAGATTTGGGACCAAAGTGGGAGGCTGAGGTGGGTAGACTGCTTGAGCTCAGGAGTTTGGAAACAGCCTGAGTTAAGAGTGAAAACCCGTCTCTAAAAATAGCCAGGTGTTGTGGTGGATGCCTATAGTCCCAGCTACTCAGGAGGCTGAGGTAAGAGGATCACTTAAGCCCAAGAGTTTGAGGTTGCTGTGAACTATGATGCCATGGTACTCTACTGAAGGCGATAGAGACTCCATCTCAAAAAAAAAAAGAAGAAGAAGATTCAGTCCCAAAGAGGTTAAATGACCTGGACAGCTAGTAAGGGGCAGAGCTATGATTAAAATAGAGATGTATACCATTCCAAATAATTGAAAATTTACTCTTTCTAAAATGTAGCAAATCCAACCTTTTCATACTAATTAAGGGTCTTCATTATGAACCTTAAGTATTATACTACACTAAGATATATTACCTCTTTCATCATCAGGTTGCACTCATAATCCTCTCCCTTCCTTTTTTTAGACAGAGCCTCAAGCTATCCCCTTGGGTAGAGTGCCATGGCATCTCAGCTCACAGCAACCTCCAACTCCTGGGCTCAAGCGAGTCTCCTGCCTCAGGCTCCCAAGTAGCTGGGACCACAGGCACCTGCCAGAACGCCCGGCCATTTTTTGGTTGCAGCCTTCATTGTTGTTTGGCGGGCCCAGACTGGAGATTTGAACCTGCCACCTTAGGTGTATGTGGCTGGCGCCTTAGCCGCTTGAGCCACAGGCGCCGAGCCAATCCTCTCCTTTCTAAATGTGTTTCTAAACAAATGTGAATGCCAGCTAGGCAGTACTGATCAAACTAAACTTATAATTCAGAGCCAATAAGAACCAAATGATTAAAAGGCTCAACTGTAAGAGGGACTATACCTAATAAATGCAATCAGTGTAACCTGGTTTCTTGTCCCTCAATGAATCCCTAACAATTAAAAAAAAGGGGGGGGTTCTTCCATAAATTTCTAGATAGGTGGTAAATAAGCTTTGATAAAATGCCTTCTTACAGTGCTCATTTCTGGTTCTAATTTTCTTCCAGAACACTGAAGGTGCTAGAAATTTTTTCAGTGAGATGTTTCTAAATTAAAGCTTTCTATATATAAACACATATATAAACAGACCAATGATAAAAAGTAAAAATGTAAAAGTTAACTGAGGAAGTGGGCAAGAGCTGGGAAGCAGAAAATCCTCAAAAAAATGAAAACATGCATTCAAAACATAAAAGGTACTATACAATATAAGGACTTCATGTGACAACAAGAGTCTATAGCAGAAAAAAATTCTCCAATTCTGATCATTCATTCAATATTCTATGTGCTTGGTCCTGTGTTAATCACCAGAAATGCAAAATTGGAAAACAAAATGAGTGGCACCTGTAATCCTAGCTACTCAGGAGGCTGCGTGGGATAGTTGGAGTCCAGGAATTCAAGACAACCCTGGGCAACATAGTGAGACCCTGTCTCAAGAAAAGAAAAAAAAGACTATCTCCCAGAATATAAAACAAAAAGTCAAAAAGTCAAACAAAAAGAAAAATTACTCACACATAATACCATTTACATTTTCTGTACTCTAAACACTATTTTTATTTTTTTGCAGTTTTTGACTAGGGCTGGGTTTGAACCCACCACCTCCGATATATGGGGCCAGCACCCTACTCTTTGAGCCACAGGCACTGCCAACAAAAAGAAAAATTAAGAAACATGAGGAGCACAAAGGCTCCAAAACTAACAGGCTTTCCAGAGAAAAGAACAGAGGAAATGAAATAATCAATCTTTAGTGTAGAAAAGAATTCCTCTGAAATAAAAAGATTAGTTTTCAAAGTGAAGAAGCCTACCATATGATCAGCAGTATTAATGGAGAAAAAAGATAGATACTGGCATACTTCAAGAACAAAAAGATACCAGATGATCATTCCAATATTTATAGGGGGAAAAAATGTGTCCCACTCCTTTTCCATGATAAAAACATACAACAAACTCAGAATAGAAGGGAACTTTCTTAATGTAAAATAAAGATCACTTTTGAAAAACATACAGGAAACGCCATACTTATTATCAAACATCCACACTTTCCCCTAAGATCAAGAACTAGACAAGGATGCTCACTCTAGCCACTTCTATTCAACATTGTATAGGACATTCTAGCCAAGACAATCAGGCAAGAAAATAAAAGTCCGCCAGATTGAAAAGGAAGAAGTAAAATTATACCAGCTATGACATGATTTTGCACATAAAACATTCTAAAAAGTATGATTAGAACTAAAATATGAGT